GAACAGAACAGAGGTCACGATAATACCTTATTAATAAAAATAATTTTATATAAATTGTCTAAATATAAATTATATATTATATTGAAGAAATTTATAAATATAATAATATCTATAAATTTCTTCAATAACTTAATTTTAAATAATTTTTCCCAATACGTATACCTTAAATGTAGCTAGTAATAATTTAACACAGTTATTTTGCTCTCCTGTAGACATTTTTGACTTTCGCACTGTTAGAACTTCACTGACGCTATGAAATATTTTCCAGTTTTTTTTTTTAATAACGTACCAATATCCATTGTTCCGCCATGTTGAATGTAATCGCTGTCAAACATCATTCTAAATTGTATTTGGGAACTTACCAATTATCTATTTGAATTATTAACAAAACTATATACTTATGATAGATGTAAATTACCCATAACGGCTACGGAATGATTAACAAAACGAATTAAACAACTATGAAACTATAAATGAAATGCCAAATTCATCGATGCGTGTTAATGCCGAAAAAGTTATAAGAACACAACAGTCAAGACAATGGGATTTTCATATGAGTAATGAAATATAAACAAACGGTGGCTATTGTTCGGCAGAACGATTTTTCTGTAGAACTGATGCTAATGAAAAGGCCTTTTCACGAGCTTTGGTGCCGAGCAACATGCAAATGTGACCGTTAATGATGCGCGAAGCCACGCCACACAGCTACAGATATTATAGTTAGGTTATAATGGCAGCAAATACACAGGGTTATTTTGCAATAATCAACCAAATTTGCAGAGCAGGTTCAGAATAAGTAATATAGGCAAATGGTGAAGAAAAATTAATTAAAAAATATCTCAATCATTTTATCCTTTTTACCTTTTGAATTCATAATACGTGGTAATGCATTATTTTAACTGATTTTACTGCGCACGCACACATTCATAAGGGTCGATCGGTAGACAAATACGTTGTTGCCGATAAATTACATTCAATTTGAGATAATTTCTAATAAAAGTAGAAGCCTATTTACTCGTATTTTCAAAAACTGCTATAACTATATACATATATTTAAACTTAAGTTTAAAATTTGGCTACTCTGAAAAATAACCCTGTAGGTATACGAATATACTGTACGTATGTTCATACGTTGTGGCTCAGGACCGTACTCGTACTTTGTCGCTATCTATGGAGGCCTGTGTTCAGTAGTAAACTTGTGATGAGCTTGTCACAGTAGCAATTATACGTTTTGATAATTTATATTTTATGACCACAATAAAGTTAACACCTATTTACGCCATGGCAAATGCTTTTTAGTTCCTATAAATTGTTGTTACGTTTTAATCTAAAACCAACTCCTGTTTACTTTGGAACAGAAAATTTTTGTCATATTTATAAGGATTTCTTATATTTACGCGAAGACTACACATTAAATGAAACTAATTTTTACGGATTTTATCGCGTTTAATTTAACTTTTTAATTCCCGACGTTTCGGGTGCCAAGTTGACTTGAAGCACCGACGTTCCGGGAAGTCTGCAGTGTCTGAACATGTTCTAGATCGTCCCCGCCATTACATTAGATTTAATAAACTACAAATCCTCGCAAAAGAACACCGATTCCTACCAAGGATGATTCGCGAGGCTATTGAAATTAAAAAACATCCTAATTTCAATAGAGAAGATGGATGGGTGCTACCATCTTCTTGGGATCCTATAATTAATAAAATTAAATCCAATTTTTTCATTTAACACAACAAAATTAGTTTCATTTAACATATTTATAAGGTCAAGCTTATCGTATACTAACTATTGGTAAGCATATTACACCATGAATACGCTACGTTGAAAAGAGTGAGTGAAAACAAAGAGTTTATATGTATCTTATTTCTCAAAGCCAAAGTAAAAAATCTATCCAATAAAACCTTTTTTATACAATAACGGTGACAAACTAACTAACATAGTCCACTGCTGGTAAATGAATGCTGTGGCCTTTAGACATCTACATAGATCCTCAGTTAAGAATCAAAATGCAGATGTGTTCTCACCCTTGAGAACTAATATGTAGTTAGTGCCTCGTTTACAGTAGAAATGGTCTTCGTTTCTCTACACTCACCATACGAAACACAGCAGCATTAAACTGCTACTTCATGCTGGTATTCTGTGAATGCGTGGCCTTCCCCGGTTGAGACGACCCATTCGTACTGCAACCGTAACATAGCTGCAGCATGACTTTACCGCCTACATATCGATATACTAGCAGGCCAGGCAGACGTTGTTCTGCTCTTTCTGACGACCCTTCCTATAAAAAATCTTTAAATTCGCCAGGCCTGAATCTCTGAAATTGGACCAAACTGCACAGAGTGTGCAAATTTCATTGAAATCATTTCAGTAGTTTAAAAGTTCATCGCGGACAAACAATTTGACACGTAATTTTTATATATAAAGATTTATAAACTAGAGGTACTATCTGCTCGAGGATCAGCCCGATTTGAAAAAAGAAACATGTTAATTTTCGCCGAGGTAAGTTTCATTTTCTAGTGGTAAAAAGCATTGTACGTTCAGGGCGCGATCTATGTGTGTCAAATTTCACGCAACATCTGAATAACAATCTATACAAATAAATAAAATTGAAGTGTCTGTTTGTAATGTCAAAATTACAGTTTTTTACTAAATATGCATACGAAAGTAAATACGGTACCTGTAACTAATATATAATTTTTAAAATTTTTGTCTGTCTGTCTGTCTGTTTGTTCCGGGTAATCTTCGAAACGGCTTCACTGGCAGATAGCTGATTTCACAAGGAGTAACTTTAATTTGAGAAAAAGAATTAGGGTTCCGCGCAATAACATAAAAACCCTAACACGCGAGCGAAGTCGCGGGGAACAGCTAGTATAATATAATAATGTTTAAGCATGTATACGTAATACAGTATACACACATACATATTCAATTAAAGCTAGGATAAAAAGTAGCAGATAATGATGAAAACTCGGCAATTTTGTTGGTACTATTATGACATTTGGTGGAGGGGTGTCTTATCTTTTTAGCCAACCAATCCGAGAACTTGCGACGTTGAAAACAAACAAAGCGAAAAAGAAACCAGAATTTTGTAGTAAAATAAAAAAGTCGAAGTCTCCAGAATAATTTACATATATATAAACATAGCCTTGTCTTAATTTGTCGATCGTTTAAAACACTATGTAACGGACACGAGTGCAAGTAATGATCATTAATGAAATAATTTACGGTGACTAAATTTGAACGTGTCATGATTAAGTCATCCAAAACTGTCGCTCCGAAGAAAAGCTCTTCATCCTTGAAAAGGCTGTAGATAACAGCATGAAAGAGCTTCACAATACACTTTTAATTTGTCATTATGCAGCAATAAAAACACCGTAAATGAGAGCGACAAAAAACTCGTTCAAAGTCTGACAAAAACCGCGAACCGAGGGCAAAGTTTGCAAATCATCCCGACGTAATAATGATGGCCGCTTGAAAAAAAATTTAAATATCAAAAGGCCGGACGGGGCACGATAATGGTTTAAAATCATTTTTCATCCGAATCACTCGTGAGTCAGGAACATGAATACGGTAGCAGTCGACTGTGGATCCATTATCTCGAGTCGAGTTCGATTAGAGTTATGATCAAGTTCCATATTTTATTTCTCGTTTCCTTAAGTTTAATTTTTGAATGACCAGTTAATTTAGCGGGTTGGTGAGATCGTAACAATCAGCGTAATATATTTTTTAAATACCTTATATATACCATTTATTATATATTTATTTATTTAGTTAAACGAAAGAGTACAATTTTAAATATAATATGTACAACAAGCGGTCTTATCACTGAAATCTGAAAGTAATATCTTCCAATGTTTGCGTCACAGTCTAACTACTTTGCGTGAAGGACTGATGTTAACAATGATTAAAATAAAATACTTATATTTTATTTTACAAATACTTATACATTTATATTTTTATAAAAGTGAATAATCATCATCATTATTATATCCCATCACATGTCCGCAGCTGAACACAGACCTCCTGTGCCAACTGTATCCATCGACTTCCCGCACCTCTTACCAATTTCTCATTCCATCTTGCCGCTTGCTGGTTCGAGGCTACCACTCGAGAACCTTTTTTCTCTATCGCTTGTCGGTATATAGTTTTTTATATATAGTTTATGATATCTATATGTATGTATACGTATCTGATAAAAATGTTAAATGTATGCGTTACCAGTTACTGGTTACACCAAATAAAAAATACACGTCGTTGTGGAAGACCGCACAGGAGCAGCGCAACAAACTGGTAACTCCAAAACTCTCTCAGAAGCAAGAAGAAGCCTGTGTCCAGCAGTGGGACTTTATATAATATTTATTCGAAAATAGACGTCCTTCAAATAAAGCCACAAAGTACGGTCCAGAGCCAACCCATCGACCTCCTGCATGTCTCTTACCAGGTCGTCCCTCCATCTAGTGGGGTAGACCTTTACTCAGCTTGCTGACACAAGGCTGTTTCGCGAAACCTTTATTCTCGAACGTTAGTCGGTTCGTCGAGGTATACAGCCGCACCGTTGCCATTCAGTTTACTAATTTGTTGGATAATGTCGATTCTCTGGTTTTACTGCGGATCTCATCGTTACGGATTCTATCACGCAGAGAAACTCCGGTTATTATTTTTATTTATTTATTAATTACGATACGTTGAAGAACGCTGAACAAATGAAAATCTCACAGATTGATAATAGGAAGTAGTAGCATTGCCAATGCGTCATCAACCCAATATAATATAGAGCCAAGTGGTTCCTTGTTTACAAAAAAGGTTTTTTTCTAAATTGTCTATCCCAAGAGAACTTAACATTTTAATTGTAGGTAATAATACCCTTATCGCCTTTAAATGTTCATATCCTTTTATGGCATGAAGTTATTTTAGTAATTACTAACTAATAAAAATAATTTAAACATTTTTTGTATAAAATTATTTATTTACAATAAACACTTCTCCCATTACACACATTATTTACTTCGCTTATTTTTGAACTTTTTCTTTTGATTGTATGTATCCACTGGAGGCAGGCCGCTATCGAATTCACTCGCGGTGTGCATAGAGCTCTGTTTATTCATTACTCTGTGACCGAAGAGTCCAGGCTTTACTTTAGGAAAACTGAAAAAGAATAATATCAATATGTATACATAATGACCATAAAACTCTTATAAAAAAAAGATCCGACTTTAGCGATCTAATATAAAATATTTAACCTTAGATGATTGTAGATTTAGATCAAATAACTACTTACCCTGGGCGTTTCTTCTCTTCCTCCTCACGGACTGTGAGACGATTCATCGGCCTCTCCTTCTTCATATTGGGATCGGATTTGGCTCTCCTTGCTAAAGCCGCCGGAGTTTCCCTCAAAGCAAAGGCCTTTGCCGCGTGTCCGAGATGGAGCTGCCTTGCGTCCAGCCACATTCGCACTTCGCGCGGATAGCCGGAGTAGAAGCGGACCCAGGATGTGAATGCTAGTGGAAACAAATGAAAAACGACTTCCAAACTGATATTTCTACAGTGGAGGCTAAAAGGAAAAATCAGCTTAGCCGATTATTACGATTTCGTAACAAATCGAATCATAATGGCGGCTGTACACGCTCGTGGAGACACCACGAGACAGGCTGAGCACGAGTGTGTACATGGTGCCCTCGTCGCGTCTCGCGGCCCTCGTTCGCTATCGGAAGCGTGTCGGTTTTTTGCTCTCGAGTCAAAGCTCGCGATATAAACGAGAGCGCGTCTGTACAAAGACAAAACGCAGCAACAATTTTTTCTAGGTCCATCGCAGTGGGCATCCGGAGTTCAAGTGTTACAACGTGTGTATACATGGTGTGAGTACACCATGTACAGAGTACACCATGTACACACACGTTGTGATATCGAGCCTCTAAGCGACAAGAGACACTCGAGGCGACGAGACGAGCGTGGTACAGCCGCCATAACAATCGACTACATTTGATGATTTCCCATTGCCATAATCACTGCATTTAGCAAGCGGTTTGTTGTTCCCAGTATCGACGTCTTGCACCTTCGTCGCTGCACATTGTCGCTGGTCAAGGAATTCATGTATGGCGTAAACGAAATGACCGTGTAGTTACAGTGTTAGAATATTCTGTAACCCATATTGTTCCGTGCGTGTCGTAAGAGGCGACAGAAGAAGACAACAACGAAATGGGCAATGGTGTCCTCTTAATAACAAAACTGCGGTTTTTTTATAGGACTAGGATAACAAACGAGCACACAGTCCACCTGATGGTAAGTGGTTGCCGGGGCCCATAGACATCTACATCTATCCTCGATTATGAATCAAAATGCAGATGCGTTGTCAGCCGTGAGGACTAAGACGAAACGCCTCGTTTCCAGTAAAAAGGGTCGCCAGTTACACTCACCATACGAAACACAGCAACGTTAAGCGCGTGGTCCTTCCCCGGTCGAGCCGACCCATTCTTGCTACAACTATACCAGTAATATAGCTGTAGCATGGCTCTACCACGTATAAAGAACAGTTGCCAACTGACCGACGTTGTTAGGCCTATGTTCAGCAGTGGAATTTGATACGCTGTAATTACATAATTAATGAAACGGGAAGGTTACCATACACCACCATCTGTCGTTAGCATTGAGATCCTTAGATCATTCTGGTATTACTCATAGTCGATTCTTGCGACACCCACGGGAAGAAATGTAGTGATCGGTTCTCTCACGCCGCCACGGCAGAAATCAGTTATTCCGTTGTACCACTTCAATGCGAGTCAACGAACTTCATAATAATATATTAACATATAAAATAGAAATATTTTTCTATCACGCAGGTTTCCTGCATATGCATGAAGAAGATAATGAATCTGAAAGAAGCGAAAGAGGTTTGTAAGGATCGTGACACTTGGCGATCTGTTCTCTCTGGCTACCCCGTCAGGGATTGTGCGTGAAGATAAGTAAGCAGGTTTCCTCACCGCCGTGCACGTGGTTAATCAACCTTTGGAATTGTTATTAGCAATTTAAGTTTTTACATGTGTAGAGGTATATGAATAGAATAGGTCGGCTCGACCGGGGTAGGACCACGCTCTCTCAGAATACCAACGTCAAATAGCAGCTTAATGCTGCTATGTTTTGTATGGTGAGTGTAGAGAACCGGAGACCTTTTTTACTGGAAACGGGGCATTCCATCTTAGTCCTTCGGGGTGACATCGCATCTACACTTTATTCTTAATCGAGGATAAATGTGGATGTCTATGGGCCGCAGCATCCACTTACCATCAGGTGTACTGTGTGCTCGCACCCTTATTCTATAAATTAAAAGTGGTACTGGCAGCGTTCCAACTCGGGTTGCTGGATTACGATAAAATTCCTGAGCTAAGCTTATTGACGAAAATTTTACGTTGTTCCTAATTGAAAATATTTATCATCCAGCCCGTCTCCCCTCCCCATTCCTTCAAAGCTGTCAGCATTACCTCTGCTGGCACGCGCGAGCCAGTCCCGGTGGCTGTGGGCAGTGTGTTCGAGTCGGGTTTGTACAGCTATAGCGGCTCGCGCTGCGTTGTTAGCCGCGGGTGCCAACGAGCGTAGAGCTTCCAGTGACTGCGACTCGTCGGACTGCCGAAGCCTACGGGTGTGGATATTTTTTTAAGAGACGTGAAATAGGAGGTTTACATGGGCATTTCCCCCAAACGCATATCATCTACACAAGGCGACATGTGCTTATGTGGTGGAAGGTGGATGGTGTAAACTCCATGACACATTTTCTCCAAATGCATTTCGTCTACACGAAGTATATATACCCTGCTAACTGATGAACATGTCGGTCTTTGATTGATGGTGTAAAATACATATAAAATTGCAGAACCACAATTGTCATTGAATAAATATTTCATACCACTTAAAAGAAGGATAAAAATAATACGATAAATGTAAAAACACTAACATTCGTCAAAATATGGCCGATACTTTAAAGTTATACATATAAAGCTATACTTTAAGTTATACACACTAAAAGTTTCTTTGCCGTCTTCTGTTCGCAAAATGGAGAAATCGACAATATTAAATTAATACAACGATAATCTATATAAAGATAATATAAATCTTTGTCTATTTAACTTGTGCGTATGCAACTTCAAAGCTTTCACTTACTTTTCAACGTGTATTCAAATAAAAAAATATAGTGTTAAATATAGTTATTACTGAAAGATTCGTTATAGACTGCTTGTATTCGACAGTTGACTATTTTTTATAATTCCTTTTCTTTTACAACTGCTTATTATAACCTATTTTTATTATTGCTGAACACCAATTTTGTCTAAATAAGTTATTTGTTTAAACGTGGAATAAAAAAAATCATCTAGCAATATTATTTGTTTATGTCGGTGGCAAACGCGATGACTGACTGTATGCTGTTCTTAGACGGTGCCTAAGTTCGATTATTTAGTTTCAGCCCGTATCCTTTTAATTATTAATGTTTCAACACAATCTTAAATATATTGCACATCAATAACACTACGTTTTTATTTTTCAGAAATATAGTCTTAAATCCCAATATTCATATTATTCAATATAATGCTTATAAAGAGATAAAGTAGACATTTAAAAATAGCAAAATGTGAAAAAGATATACAGAGTGTTAAATAAAATGAAAAATATATAAAAAGGACATTATTTCCAATATTAAAATTAAAATTTTAATAAATTTAATGTTAGATTAAGAGTTAATTAAAAACAAACCTGATACGTTTTTGTTCCAAGTGCCTTACGAACTCAGCTTCGCTTGGAAGCAACATCAAGATAGCAGCGCCAACCTGCGCCGCACGACCTGTGCGTCCCACCCTAATTACACAAGGAATACATGCTACAGTTTAAAAATCAAGCAAGTCATTAATGAGGGAATCATATAATAAGTAAATATAAATGGATGGAAAAGTTAAGTAGATTCTCTTTTTCTGCCGACTTCCAAAAAGGAGCCGGTACTCAATTCGACTGTATGTTTTTTTTTTCGTTTTTTTTTTATGTGTGTTACCTCAGAACTTTTTTCTGGGTGAACCGATTTCGATGATTCTTTTTTTATTTGAAAGCTGGTACTTCTCGTGTGGTCCCATATGAATTTGATCAAGGTCAGACCAATAGTTTTTAAGTTATTCTTAAATAACTTATATTGAAGTCGGCTGTACAAAATTTTTAAATTTAAATTATTTTTTAAACGTTACCCCCACACTAGGATTTTCTCCTGTGTCGTGGAGGCAGTTTACAAACATAAATTGCACAAGGACAAACATCCAGACCCGGAACAATTATTTGTAGGCCATACAAATACTTGTTCCGTGCGAGATTCGAACCCGCGGCCTCCAGCGCAACAACTGATTACTAAGCCACTGCGCCACGGAGCAAGAAAAGCAGACTTGCGGCCCACTGAATAGTAAGCATGGTCACTAGGCTGCAAACTCAAACAATGGTCTAAACTATAACACACGTTTTATGCCTAATGGTTAAGAAATAACTCTACAAACGAGAACACAATGATTGCACTACACTGCTACCCAAACAGACTCCTAAGCGGAAAGAAACCATACTGCCTAGTAAAATAAAACTAAGTAATTCTTTCTTAATTCTCAAATACTGAATAAAACTATCAACTTATGATTGGTCATTATGTTTATCGAGACATTTTCTAAATAATAAACAATATGCTATTAGTGCTATTTTTAGAAAATCGAATATGAAATAGATCTTGAATATAAAACTAAACGAAATTAAACGTACAATAAGCGCAAGTAAATTGATTTCCGAGAAAAGTATTAAGCCCATTAATTTATTAACAAGCTCACCAGCTCATCGACAGTCACTGAAAGTGCATTATTAATACTAATGAAAACAATATCCAGTTTTTTTTTTAATATAGAATATGGGTGACAAACGAGCACACAAATCTATCCTGGATTGGGAATCAAAATGCAGATGCGCTGTCACCTCTAAGAACTAAGATGGAATGCTTCGTTTCTAGTAAACTGTTTCTGCAGTTCTCTACACTGGTAACACAGGCCATACAAAACACTTCAGCATTAAGCTGTTATTTGCGCTGGCATTCTGTAAGAGCATGGTCATTTTCCGGTCGGGCTGGAACCATGCTGCAGCTATATTATGGTTGTAGTATGAATGTGTCGACTATCACGTAATAAAAAAAATATGGGATGTTTTGAAAAATATTATATGGCAAGCTTTGGATGTAACAAAATTAATAAGTCAAAATCATTGCTATGTCAGAGATCCAATAACAAAATAGCTCTACATAAATACACACAGAATATACAATAGACCAAGGTTTCACAGCAAAACCTTTTAGTACTTCATCATCATCATCATTACAGCCCTTCACAAGTCCACCGCTGAACATAGGCCTCCCGCAAGGAATGTCACGAAGCACGGCCCTGCCTGAGCCATCTGTTACATCGACTTCCTACATGTCTTACCAGGTCGTCAGTCCATCTAGTGAGGTGACGCCCTACAATTCACCTATCGGTACTTTGCCTTTTACCTGCAAGTACTTACTGCGCAATAATCCCATTGGTTGCCCCTAAGCAATTCACAGCATTTCATTTTACTTAGCCTATTGCAAGACTCCGCTTGCAACGAAGTAACGTAGTTCTAGGCCCATGGGCAAATTAATAGGTAAATACATAACTTAGTACCATGCGACTACCCGATATTGCTTGTAGCACACAAACAGGGTCGGCACGACCACCGAAGGACCACGCTCCCACAAAATACCACGTAACAACAAATTGACTCAGTATTTCGTTATTTACAAGAACTAAAGACTCGGTTACTAGTAAAGGAATACAGTCTACTCTCGATAATTTGACACTCGTTAATTTGAAACTGGATAAATTTTTTTTCCATTCCCTTGAAGAATACTCGATAAATTGAATAAAATCAATATTAATTCCCTTCGGTGATTTGAAGTTGAGGGAATAGTATCTTGCCCATCAACATGCAATAATTTGAAGTCTGGGCTTCCCTACTCTCGATAATTTGAAGCGAGCACTCCCCTTGCTGCCTCAGTCATTATCGGAATCCTCGGCGTCCACATATCGAGTGATGTGCAGTTTCGTAGTCACTTGGAAAAGAAAACCAAATTGGCCTCTAAGAAGCTTGGCGTGCTCAGCAGAGCGGGACAGTATTTCATGCCGGCACACCGCCTGCATCTTTACAAGGCACAGGTTCGGCCTCACATGGAATACTGTTCCCATCTCTGGGCAGGGGCTCCCCAGTGCCAGCTCCTTCAACTTGACCGCATCCAGCGTAGAGCGTTTCAAATCGACGACGACCGAGTTCTTTCCGATCAGCTTCACTCACTGGCACTGCGTAGAGATGTTGCATCCCTTTGTGTATTTTATTACATCTATCAACGGAGTGCTCTGAGGAATTGTTCAGACTAATTCCAGCCGCTCAATTTCACTATCGCACATCGCGACAAAACTCGCGATACTATCCATACCATCTGAATGATTGGCGGTCCACCACTGTGCGATTTAGAAGAAATTTTCTTCCTCCCACAACTTTCTTGTGGAATCGATTACCACCAGCGATTTTTTCAGACCGATACGACTTAGGGACCTTCAAGAAAAGAGCCTACTCCTTTTTAAAAGGCCGGCAACGCATCTACAATTCCTCTGGTGGTGCAGTTGTTCATGGGCGGCGGTAGTCACTTACCATCAGGTGAGCCGCATGCTCGTTTGCCCCCTCTCCTATAAAAATAAAAGCGTTTGTCACGCGATTGCTGTCGATCGTTTACATAAATGAGACTTCTTTTCAAAATTAACATTTGTGAATAATTATTGTACAAATGTTTAAAGTAATAAATCACGAATTTTGATCAAACTTGATTTTTAATTGATTTTTTCCTTCCTCCCTCTTGGTTATCTGAACTCCTGTTATTTTGAACTCTTGGTAATTTTAAAAAAAATTCTCTGGTCCTCAAGTTTCAAATTATCGAGAGTCGACTGTATTCTTTAAAGGACATCAGAGGTGACCAATGAATATTAAAAAAGAGTTTGCGTAACTAAAGCTAAAATTAACAATAAAAGTCGACATCAAACCAGTAATAAGTAAACTTTGATTATTTTATACAATATTATTAGCACTGATTTCATTTAAAGTTTTTTTTTTTACCCTTTTGAGTGGACTAAGAAATATCGTACTGTCAATTTCGTCTAAATAATTGTTTTAAGAACTTCATCCCATTATGGGTATGGCTTTATTCAATTATGGTTGAGGGACGATTCCAGAAGTATAAACCTAATTATATAATTAAAAAAACTTATTAAAATCGGTTAGCAAATCATACAGTCGAATTGATAACAAATCTACGCTTTTAAAATAGGTGGTAAAACTCCTTTTCCGCCACAGAGTATGTATGGGTAGAGCTACGAACTTCAACACTGAAGAAATAGGTTTTGCCGCCAAGCAGCCATGTAAAGGGTATGGCCAGCCCATATAATATCAGGCTTAGAATGGATTGCCTTTTAGTTCTAAGCACTTACCATCAAATGGAATGTTAATTCGTCAGTCACTTTAATGTTAATAAATGGAGGATGTGTGTGGATCCATCTTTGTTTTTGTAATGCAAGGAAATATAGATATTAATAAGAGTGCACAATAGGCTTTTGTTGCGATTAGAGAGCGCGATTTGCCACCTAGGGCTTCATCCCCACTTACCACCAGCACGGCTAGCATGGGCTGGGGCCAAAAAATTTATCCCCCGATTATATCCACTGACAAGAGATAAAATTTTCTTGTCCTTGTGCCAAAGCACGGCAACGAGGAGAAGTATATTCCCGTTTGACATAACGAGTAGACATATATCCACCGTCCGTAGCATGGAGCCAAATGAAAAATAAAAAAATATGCTTTTTTGACATTTGAAAGATACAATTTTATCCTAGTTCATTGGACGTCAGTTTAAGTTTATATTCATACAAAAAATCTATCTAAGTTTATCTCCCATTTTATCAACTTTGGATATTATCCACCGGTGTGCCCATGCTCGAAGGGTGGATAAAACTAAGCGAGGGGATAAATATTTTCCCCTTTCCCTGGGGATAAAATTGTCTCCTGCCCGTGCTAGCCCTGCAGGTGGTATTGTTATAAGTGCAATTTTGATCACAAAATCAAACATTTCGGAACAAGAGAAAACGGAAATTACCAGATAATAATTACCTGTGTACATAATCCGTAGCGGACGCAGGCGCGCAATACTGAAGCACAAGATCGACGCGTGGAACGTCCAAGCCTCGAGCAGCAACGTCCTAATAACAAAATCATTTTAAACGTCGCGAATAAGCCAGTAAAATTCTTATTATCAGCTCAGCATAAACAATAAATTAATTAAATTAAATTTTTAATTAATATTAATAAGTCTTTAAAACGGGACAAGATCGTTAAATAAAATTAATCGATCGTTAAATAAGTAATAGCGTTTAAGAGGATATATTGCTCAGGGGGAAAGATTATCCTAAGGATGATAGGTTGACTGCCTCTGTATGCTTTAATTGCTGTGGAATAAATGTCCCTAACAGTCAGACAGTAGTTTGTTTCTTAAGTACATTACTACCTGTGTTTTGTCACTCGATTATATAAGTAAACTAGCGCTCCGCCCCGGTTTCGCACGAGTGATTTCTGGATCTCAACAACAGTGCCACCTACCGGGTCCAATTGCAAATTTAAACCATTCCCGAATCAACTTAATCACACACACAAAATTTCATCAAAATTGGTCCAGCCGTTTAGGAGGAGTTTAGTCACATACACGCTTAATTACAATTAAATTATATACGTTCGACTATTGGGGATTGGGGACAAGCCTCCTATTATTTCTCAGAGGGTTTTAGGAAAAGGAAGGATCTGCCGCACTGTCTTATAGCTTGATGGGTTGGCAGACTTTACATGCACTCAAACTTACTTGTATTATTTAAATAAAAATAGTTTTTACAGATTTTATCGCGTATATTTACTTATTTTCTACTCCAAACGCGCTACACTTTACAGTAATGGTAAAGTGCTCGAAACAAAAAAATAAGTTAATATGTATACGCAATAAAATCCATAAAAACTAGTTTTATTTCAATGTGTAGTGTTGTATATAAGAAACCATTACTTGTACCAATTAAACATGCCGGTTTCCTCAGTGTTTTCCTTCACAAAAACTTCAAATAAACACTTTAAAAAAGTTCAATAGAACGAAAAAGCGATCGGACATAAATAATCCAAGTTATATTCCAGCTAGAAAACATTTCTAATTTTTATTACTCCAATATAAAAGTACATAATTACGACGAACAGAAGCATTATATCGCGTAATAGGAGCGTATTGAAGCGATGGCGCCCCGCGGCGGCGGCGGCGATTGGAGGCGACTTCCACATGTTTATGCCTAGATTACCTTCCGTAATAAACGCTGCGACAAAGTAGCAATAATTATAATCTTTAGTAAATCAAACAGGCTGGATAATTATACGCAAAACGTTTAAAAACTTGGACTTTTAGTAAGCGGAAAACTGTATAGCTACTATAATCATCATCATCATCATCATCATCATCATTACAGCCCTTCACAAGTCCACTGCTGAACATAGGCCTCCCCCAAAGAATGCCACAAAACACGGTCCTGAGCCACCTGCATCCATCGACTTCCTGCATGTCTTACCAGGTCGTCACTCCATCTCGTGGGGGGACGCCCTACACTTCGCCTACCGGTACGAGGCTGCCACTCGAGAACCTTTCTTCCCCATCGGTTGTCGGTTCTTCGAGCTATATGGCCGGCCCACTGCCACTTCAGCTTACTAATCCGTTGGGCTATGTCGGTCACTCTGGTTCTACTGCGGATATCCTCATTCCTAAGTTTATCACGCAGAGAAACTCCGAGCATAGCCCTCTCCATAGCTCGCTGAGCGACCTTGAGCTTCCTCATACGGCCAGCAGTGAAGGACCACGTCTCAGTTCCGTAAGTCATCACTGGCAACACGCACTGGTTGTACAATTTCGTTTTAAGGTTTTGAGGTATGTCTGACGAGAAGATGTGTCGTAGCTTCCCGAACGCTGCCCAGCCGAGTTGAATCCGTCGATTGACCTCTCGGTCGAAGTTGGACTTACCCAGTCGGACTATTTGTCCCAGGTAAACATACTCGTCAACAACTTCGAGCTTAGTGTTCCCAACAACTACCGGCATAGGTGTGACATGGACATTAAACATGATCTTAGTTTTGTCCATGTTCATCTTAAGACCTATCCGTTGGGAAACACTATTGAGGTCATTGAGCATAGTGCTTAGGTCCTCCAGCGATTCTGCCATAAGGACTATATCGTCGGCAAATCGAAGGTGAGTGATGTACTCGCCATTGATGTTGATACCGTATCCTTTCCAGTCCAGAAGCTTGAAAACGTCTTCCAATGCAGCGGTGAAGAGTTTCGGGGATATGACGTCACCCTGTCTTACACCTCTCTGCAATTGGATAGGTTTCGTACTCTGGTTCTGTACTCGGATAGCCATCGTAGCCCTACTGTACAAGCACTTCAACACTTCGATATACCGACAGTCAACTTGGCACCGCTGAAGGGACTGCAGCACCGCCCAAATTTCGACGGAATCAAAGGCTTTCTCATAGTCCACCTACGCCAGACATAGTGGCAAATTGTACTCTTCGGACTTCTGTACAACTTGCCGAAGGGTATGTATGTGGTCTATGGTGCTAAAGCCCTTTCGGAAACCGGCTTGTTCGGGAGGCTGGAAGTCGTCAAGTCTGCGCGCGAGACGATTCGTAATGACTCTCGAAAACAGCACGTAGACGCGGCTCAGAATGGAAATCGGTCTGTAGTTCTTCAAGAGAGCGTTGTCACCTTTCTTGAAGAACAAGACCACCGCACTTCTGCTCCACGCCTCCGGTGTAATGCCACCATGGAGGACGGAATTAAAGAGCTTCTGAAGGACTTCAAGTACCGGTCTTCCACCCGCTTTCAGAAGCTCCGCTGTAATTCCATCCTCGCCTGGGGCCTTACCGTTTTTAAGGTGCTGGAGAGCCATCCTAATCTCGCTCAGACTGACATCCGGGATATCTTCGGAATAGTGTCGGATGAGACTCGCTCTTGGATCGTTACTATAAATATGTAGAAAATTTACACCAGAAATCAATGCAGTAACGTGAAATTCATTGAAATAAACAGTTGTTAATCCCTATAACTTTCTTAAATTTAGTATTAGAAATCAGTGTAACAAAACTCTTTTTTTCTAATATCATTCATACAAAATTATGATTTTGGGGACATAATTTTTTTTTATAGGATTAGGGTGACAAACGTGCACACAGTCCACCTGATGGTAAGTGGTTGCTGCGGCCCATAGACATCTACATTTATCCTCGATTACGAATCAATTCGATCGATTACAAATGCAGATGCGTTGTCACCCGTGAGGACTAAGATGGAATACCTCGTTTCCAGTAAAAAGGGTCTCCGGTTCTCTACACTCACCATACGAAACACAGCAGCATTAAGCTGCTACTTTACGCTGGTATTCTGTGAGAGCGTGGCTTGGCTTCTGGAATTGCCCCATAAGCAACTTTATATTAGCCATAGGATTAAAATAAAAAATAGGGTGTACTGTAGGATAACACTGTCACAAAAATAAGTACAACAATATCGGACTAGACAACATCTACTGACATTCTCGTTACCAAGACCGCCGACGTAGTTTTTGGGTATCAAGAAAACAGCAAATAGGTAATAAATATTTATTAAAATAAAGATTTTGTTTTATAGAATAAGCGTTCACTTTTGTAAGGTTGCCAATAAAACCTCTGTTAAATTTATGACCGACACAGAAATTATTCAAGTCTTGATGGAAAATGGTTCTTTCCGTATTATATTACTAAACTAGCTTTTACCCGCGAATTCGTCCGCGTAGAAACCTGCAGCGGTCTATAATAGTGGTCTTTGGTCAAGTAGTTAATTTTTTTTAATAGAAGAGCGGGCAAACGAGCATGCGGCTCACTTGATGGTAAGTGACTACTGCCGCCCATGAACAACCGCAACACCAGGGGAATTGCAGATGCTTTGACGGCCTTTTAGAAAGGTGTAAGCTCTTTTCTTGAAGATCCCTAAGTCAATTATCGAAAAACCACTGTAAACTAAGTTTCTTTTTGCTATTATCTCAAAAATTTCAAATGATATAGAAACAACAATTTTTTTTTGTTAAATTGAAAGATTAAAAAGTTTTGCTATATTATTATCATCCAAAACGATTTATTTTATAAATATTTCGAATTTACAAAAAATCTGCATGTTTTTAGATAAAACGCAGCCTAGATCACTCTTAGCATTACTCTCTATATGTTCGTGAGGTTTCATTAAAATCGAATCAGCCATTCCATGTCTTAATAGTAACTATGCAAAGAACACCGTGAGCTCAATAGAAGCCATAATAAAAGTGGCCCATAAACCTGGCACTAAAACTGAATGTATTTTTTATAGGATAAGGGTGACAAACGAGCACACAGTGCACCTGATGGTAAGTGGTTGCTGTGGCACATAGACATCTACATCTATCCTCGTTTGCGAATCTAAATGCACATGCGTTGTCAACTATGAGGACTAAGATGGAATGTCTCTTTTCCAGTAAAAAGGGTATCCGGTCCTCTACACTGACCTTACAAAACACAGCAGCATTAAGCTGCTATTCTGTGAGAGCGTGGTCCTTCCCCGGTCGAGCCGACCCATTCGTGCTACAGCTATACAATTTATATAGCTGCAGCATGGCTCTACCACGTTTAATGTATGAAATTCATAACTCCAAATGTCAAACATCTAAATAGTGATATAATTTTAAATGGGGAGGAGCTGAGTCTTGTTGATACCACCATTTTTTCTTGGAAACACACTAGACGCGAAGCTTCAATGGCAAAGCAAGCAAGCAAGCTTTACAATATATTACAGTACTTTACAGAACTAAGTCTGCAGCATATGCTGTAAAAAATATTAGGAATTTTATCAGTGTTGGAACAGCTAGACTTGTTTACTTTAGTTATTTCCATAGCATAATGTCGTATGGTATTTTGCTATGGAGACACGCGACAGACACTGAAATTATATTTGTTTTACAGAAGAGGGTCATACGAACAATCTATGATTTAAAACCTAAAGCGTCGCTCAGACAAAATTTTAAGGAATTAATATATTAACTTTGGCCTCTCAATACATTTATGAAAATGTAATGTACGTACACAAAAATAAAAGTAGTTTTAAAAAAAGGTTATTCCT